TCACTAGATTGCCAGGTTATTACAAAAGGACTTCAGTCAGGAACGCCCAGCTGGAAGAGACGCACAGGCAAGGTATGGGGGATGGGCACGGAGGTGCCACCCTCCCAGCACCTCCACGTGTTCAGGAACTCGGGAGCTCTCCAAACCTTGTACTTTGGGGATCTTTATGGAGGCTCCCTCACGTGGGCGTGATCGATTATTAACTCTCTGGAGGATGGGGGTGGGGCTGAAAGTTCCAAGCTTCTAATCACGGCTTGGTCTTACTAGTGACCAGCCCCCAGCCAGGGCCACCAAGGGTCGCCTCATTCAACCAAAAGTTACTCCTGTCACCCAGGAATTCCCAAGGGTGCGGGAGCTCTGCGTCAGGAACCAGGAAAGAGACCAATATACACATCTCTTATTATTTCACAGGGCAGGAGATGAAGAAGTTTTAAAAGTGCTGTTCTAAACCAAATCCCCCTGTGGGAAAATGAGACCCCAGAGGGCTGGTGCTCAGACAGGAGGGAGCGCCAAGGAGAAGCCAGATCTTGTGATTTCTGGTCCCAGGTCTAACCATAATCCCATCCTGCCTAACGTACGGCTGTGAGCTGAAGAAATAAACAGACAAAGCCAAGACACTTGACATGGTGGAGAAGATGGAAACCAGACAGGCACTGTCACCCTACGCTGACGCAGTGGGTCCAGCCTGTACCCAGAGGGCACGTGCGGTGCTGGAGCTGAGCCGGGAAGGGACAGCAGAGGGCGAGCGATGCTAGTGCAGGACACACCCGTAAAGGCACCTAATGAATGACTAATGGGAGAGTGGCCACACAGAGCAGGTCTCCAATTTAAATGTAACGTGTGTGCGCGCATGTAAGTCAGACTGGGCAGTTTCTGTCGTCTGTTACACTTTAGATAGAATAATGCTTTTATGCAAAGTCTTATTCGATTAAATGTAACTGATCTTTGAGTAAGTGTCGCCTTGGGCAGCTGGTGTTGGGAGAGCAGCCTGTCTGTGAAAACGCAAGTCTGGGGCACTCAGCAGAAGAGAACGTGCTTGTCCAGGGGACGCCCGGGGGGAGAGTGCTGACTGCCGTCCGCTCTGCCCCCAGCCCGGTGCTCCCATCGCCCTGACGCCTGAGGAATCCTGCATGGTCAGAGAGGGGAGACGGCCTTGGGGTGTCTGCAGATGGGGCCCGCCCCATTCAAGGACTTCCAAGGCCCCCCCAACCTGCCACCTGGGAGCAGAGCGCCGACTTCATGTAAGAGGTGGGGCTGGGGCTGCTCTGTACCCCAAATTGTCGCCGCTTAGAGCACGCTACCCGTGTCTGAATTCCATCACCGAGCTTTGTTCCCTGTTTGGGCTGGACAATCCCTTCGTGTCGCTAGCTCCTGGCAGGCCTGAGTCACGGCTGCTCATGCAAAATCAGGAAGTTAATCAGCTCATGGGAGCTTGAGGCTCTGCGACCCTGGACGGATAAGCTTTGCTGGGGATTATGGGGAAAACAGGGGCCTGGAGCTGGTGCCAGGGAGAGCAGGCACAGTGTGAGGGTGATGACAGGAGCCCAGTCTCTCTCCAGGAGCACCGAGCTTGGGGACAGGGGTTGAGGAGGAACCCAGACCCTCCGCTCAGGCATAGACGCCAGGACCTGGCCATCTCGGGGCAGACTCACATCAGGGTTGTTGGGTAAAGTGGGTACCACGGAGGGAAACCAAATGTCTGGCTTTTGGCCAACATGGGAGCAGGGAGCGAGGGGCGGGAGGAAGAGAGCTGGTCCCCGCCAAGAGCCGCAGGAAGCCCCCACGGCTTCATCGGACCTCCTCTCCTGGAGAGAGGGCATCCTGAGGGCCTGGTCTCGCCCTGTCCTGACCCCCAGCCAGGGCCTCGCTTATGCCCTGGCTCACGCTGACTCTGCTGTCATGAAGGCCCGGCCCTGGCTGGTCTCTCGCCCCCTTCCCATTCACTGGGGACCACCTGCTCTTTCCCTCCGTGGCTTTTCCCGGTCCGTCTCTCTGGTCTTCCTACGCCCTCTCAGATGAATCCGTCATCCTGCTCCTGAATTCTGTTCCAAATCTCTCCCACCCTTCCTGGCTGTCTTAGTTTTCAATGGCTGCTGTAACAAATAACCAGGAATTTAGCGGCTTAAAACAACACAAATTTATTATCTCACAGCTCTGTGGGTCAGACATCCTACACAGGTGTCGCTGAACTAAAAGCAAGGTGTCCGCAGGTCTGTGTCCCCTGGTGGCCCTACAGGAAAATGTTTCTTTGCTTTACCAGCTTCTAGAGGCCCCACCTTCCTCGGCTCATGGCCCCTTCCTCCCCCCGGGGTCTCTCTGACGCTGCTTCCACCATCACATCTCTTTCTCTGGATGCGGCCAGAAGAGGTTCTCATCTTTAAGGCCCCATCTGATGAGATTGGGCTGTTGGATAATCCAGGATACTCTGCCCATCCCAAGGGCCTTCATTTAATCCCATCTACAAAGTCCCTTTAGCCATTTAATGTCTCATATCCACAGGGTCCGGGAATAAGGACGTGCACATCTTGGGGGGGGGTCACTAGTCTGCCTACCACCCCGCCAGCTCCAGCAGTCCCCCTGCCCTCTGAGCCTCACCTCTCCCACCCAGAGCTGCCCTAGCACTTGCTCCGTCTAGGCTTCCCTCGGGTCTGCGGGTCGCCCCCCGCAAAGCTCCGACCACCCTGAGTTGTAACTGCTTGTCGATTTGTCGTTTTCCTGGAATAGACTTCCAGTCCGTGAGACCAGGGACAGGTTCGCCCTGTTTGCTGATGTATCCATGGCAACCAGCGCACAGCACTCAAAAACGATTTTAGCGGGAAACTCGTCTGTGACACATCACTTTCTATTTTAAATTACGTCCTGGCCAAATGATTTCTCCCGCAACACTGTCCACTTCTGGAAAGCAGCGTTCCCCTGGGGCTTGTCCGTGGGTCCCCCGGGGCGTCTGGACAGTGCTGGGCGCATGTCGGGGAACTGAATTGAATACCTAGGCTCAGACTCATCTCGACAGCCTGGCTCTTACACACAGGGCACACGGCGGGCGTGTACGGCGGGCATGTGGGAGTGAGGTGCCCTGGGTCGGGGAGGGCTACTTGGGAAAAGTTTCTGGAAGGGAAGTGCGTGGGGCAGAGGTTTGAAAGAGATGAAGGATAAGGATTGGCAGGGCCACCAGGTGATGACATCCTCTGGAGAACTGGTAGGAGCGGAGCCAGATATGGCAGACAGCTGGTGGGAGTGACCAGAGACCAGACAGCATGGGGGAGGGCAGACGTGGCCACAGGGCTTGGCCGAGGGGTCTGGATTTGACATGACAGGGCGCTATCAATGACTACTGAGCAATGAGCCACGTGCTGACAACAGGACTGCAGGAAGATGGGAGGGAAGCAGGGACAGAGGAAGAGAATGCATTTCAGGGAGCAGAGTGCTGGCGAGGCAGCAGGCGGGCAGGGTGACGAGAGCCGTCCCTGGGGCACATGGAGATAGACTAGATGTGGAGACAGGAGAGAGCAGAGTCAAAGATAACTTGACACCACAATCGGGGGGACCTGAGAAATGCAGGATGCTGGTGCAGCGAGGAAAATGGGAGCCTCCCTTCCATCTGACGGGGAGACGGTGAGCTCAGCATTGGGTACCCTTAGTGCTGGGGTCAGAGGGTCATGCAGTGGAGGGGCACAGACTCAGCCCCAGGCTACAGTTCCCGTGATGGTCCCCACCTCCACGCAGGAGGTATTTTCCAGTGCCTGACTGTCCCCCCGCCCCCACATGGCAGGCATTCTGTCTCTGCCCCAGCCTGCTCACCAAAGTTGTCATTCTAGACCTCCCCACTCCCGGGCCAGCCACGCTTCCAGTGCTTTGGCCATATAGACTTACATAGACCCTCACAACAACCCTGAAGGTAGGTATTATTATCCCCAGTTTACCAATGTGGAATTCTCACCGTGACGCCCCAGAGTGCCTGCAGCCTGGCCTCCCACTGGGTTTGATTTAATTCCTCCCAATCCAGTTTAGCACATGTTTCCCGAGCCCCCCCAAGTGTAGGGCACCCTGCCGGGCGGCAAGGACATAAAGAAGAGTAAGACAGAAGTAGGAGCGACAAGCACATACCCAATGACCTCCATGCCAAGTGGCTTCCACAGTCCACAATGCCTGGGAGGGTTTGATTTCCCCTGGACGCGGCCCATAAGCTGGTTCCAGCCACCAGCCTCGAGGGTGGGCCACATCAAGCCAACCCCCAGGGATCCCAAAATATCAAAGCTGAAAGGGACTTTAGTACCCGATCAACTCGTTTCACAGATAAAGACACTGAGGCCAGAGAGGGGGATGTCATCTCCGGAGTAACACAGCTGCTTATGGCGGAGCCAGGACCGAAGCCCAGGTGTCCCCACCCTGGATCTGCCACCCTGGATCCCAATGGCTCCCTGTTCCTTCACAGCTGGCGAGAAGTCCTCGTCTGCCCCTCAGCAGCCTGGACCTCCCTGCCTCCCTCCCCTAGGCTGGCCTTGCACCTCTTGCCTCCCTCTGCCAGGTCCAGAACCAGCACCTGGTGGAGGGGGACACGGGACAGGCTGAGGGGCTGCTGTGCACGCTCCACGGGTCAGCCCCCCGGCCTATGCCCCCCCACCCCCGGTTCCCTCCTCCTCCTCCTTAGGGTGGGAGGACGGGGAAAAGAGGTGGTGGCGCCGGGTAACGCCCCTGCAGCAAAGACGTGGATCCCTAAAGGACATTTCCAGATTGTGAACGAGGACAAAGCCCTTTAATCCGATTTCATCATTCCGGTTGTTGCTCCTAGAGTATTGTTGGTAAAGTGCTTTCTCTTTAAAACAGCAAAGTAGAACAAGCGCGTCCCGGCTCGGAAACCCCGAGTTTCACGATAGCAGGAGGGGCGGAGCGCGCCGGGGGGGAATTCTACAGGCCACACAAAGGCCGACGCTCCCTTTTCTGGTTCGGTCAGGTTTGAGAAATGCCTCCCTGTCCCTTGCGCGGGAGCCTTCCGCCCAGGTGAAGGTGGGCCTTGTTGCCTTGGCGACAGCGAGTGGGGCTGAGCGGCTGCTCCGACAGCCAATAGCAGCCTGGAGGGGCGGGGCCAGCTGGGGCCTGCGCGTCAGCGGCGGGGCTCGCAGGTTAGGGACGCGGCGTGGGGGAGGGGTGCGGGGGGCGCGGGGGCCTTGGGGGTCCCAGGCCGGGCCGAGAGCTTCGGGCGTGGTGGGCACTGGCTCCGGCCATCAGGTCGGGGCGCCCGGACCCCGCGCCCGAGGTTCCCGTCGGGCCTGCGCGGGGAGGAGCTGCTGCGGGGCGGCGATGGCGGAGGGCGGGGGCCGGGCCTGGTCGGGGCCCCCAGCAGGCCCCCGCAGCCGGGTGGGCGGCAGAGAGCCGGAGAGCTGGGGAGAGGGCATGCAGCATGTGGCCCCCGGGTTTGGAAGGCCCTGGGAGCCTGGATCCCAGCCCCCCACCCCATCCACGTCCGGCTGCACGGCTAAGGGGCCCGAGAGGAGCCATCGCTCCTTCGACTCCACGTTTCCTTTCCAGGTGTCCGGTCTGGCCGGCCGCCCAGCCCGATAAGCATGCAGCTGCTGTGTTTGGTGGCCGTGGTCGGCTGTTTGCTGGTGCCCCCGGCTCAAGGCAACAAGGTGAGGGGGGTGAGCCAGCCTTGGGCACCCCTTGGGCACGACCACCCTGCCCGCAGACAGGTCTCCCCCCGAGGCAGCTGCTGCCCAGCCCTGCCCCTCACTTCCCCTGGGGGCCAGACTTCTAGGGCTGTTTTCTCAGGCGCAGGACTGGGAGGGGACAGGGTGGTGCACAGAATTTCCGGATCAGGCAGGCCCGCGGTGGAATCCACCAGGAATTTTGTGTTTGGGGAAGTTATGCAAGTTCTCCACACCTTCTGGTGGAGTAGGAGGGTGCTATGTCCTGCTGTTTTAGGGAGAATCAAGTGATATGGGGAGTAGACATGCTCTGTGAGTGTGAAGTCCTGCACAGGGAGAAGCTTCTGTGATGGAGGGGGCCCAGCCTGGGTGCGGGGGGGCTACTGACATTCACTGCCCCTCCCCTCCTTCTGGGTGGAGGACTCTGAAGCTGGGCGTGGGGAGGTCTGTGGAATTTGAAGATCTCGAGGCTTCGAAGTAAGATGGACTCTGAGTCTGAGGCTTGCTTCCACTCCCTCCCGGAAATTCCGCACTGGAATGAGATGTCTGCGGGGCTGTCTCCTCCCCATTCAGAGAGGAAGGATTTGCAGGGGGCTGCTGAGTGGTCCCTGGGAACGTCCAGTTTCTCTTGTTTACCCTGCCCTGGCCTTCCCCAGCCCTAACCTGGGAAGTTGGAGGTGGAGTCAGGGGGAAGAGGCTAGCCGGCAAGACTGCTGGGCAGAGGTGCACACACAGGTGGGGCCCCAGGGGAGAGGACTGTCACTTTGCCTGCTGTCCCCGCCCCCCAAACACCCTGCTAGGCACTGGCAGCCCTCGGCAGCTCTCTGTGAGCCTCGTTTGCCCCCTGGATGGTTTCTGCCTTGAGGACCCCGTGCTGTGCTGTAGCATCCTTCCTGCGGAAGTCATTCCTGCCGAACTTGGGGATGGGGAAAGATCAAGAGCCTTCCTATGGTCGCTTTATGGACCAGGGAACTGAAAGTTGAGTTTGCTAGACCCCAGGCCCCGGGCCCTGCCTGCCTGATGTGTCCCTCCTTTTCCAGAGTTCTGAAGATATCCGGTGCAAATGCATCTGTCCGCCGTACAGGAACATCAGTGGACACATTTACAACCAGAATGTGTCGCAGAAGGACTGGTAAGGCACTGTGCAGGCTCCCCTTGGCTCCTACACCTAGTGGAAGTTATGGGTGTTTCCCAGAGTTCTTGGAGCCCTGGCGGACCCCTGCTCTCCCATCGCTTTAGGGAACCCTACAAAGGACTGTTTTGTCTGTGGTCACACGACACACTGGAAATAGGATCCGGATGTTTTGAATTCCAGCTGAGGGGTTCCTGGTCAGAGGAGTGGATTTTGTTATTTTGCTTTGATTTGGACGTTTATTAACGTGTGCCCAATAGTAGCAGAGGAGTTGGGAGAGGTGGGTCCTACAGCCACACACTGTGTGGGATCTTTTGCGTGCTTGCGTACTTTTGCAAAGCTCTGTTGCGTGTGGTGTTCAGTGCCAGTCTCAGAAGGACCCTGTAAGGTTGATGGGGTAGGTTGTGTTCCCATTTTATAATTCCAGAGACTGAAGCCCGAAGAGAGAATTTCAAATACACTCCTGGAGTCTTGAATTCCTTTCTGCCTGCCTCCCTTTAAAAGAGAGAGAAATAATCACCACTTCGTTCAGAGAAAGGAGACCAGCTTGTGAAGGGAAGTTCCTACACATTGTCCTAGAAGGGATGGTCCTAGAGGCGCTAGAGAGAGGCTGCAGAGAGGTCTCGGGCCACGTGGAGGCTCACAAGGACGGGAGAGGGGCTGGCCCCCTCTGGGAGGTGGGGGCGTGTGGAATTGGGGGCTTGTGGGTCTCAGTTATGTTCAGTGTGGTTTGGGTGTAGAATGGAGGCCAAAGGAAGAAAGCTTCAGGAAACAGACTTTCGTGTGCATGGCTGGAGCATTTCTAATCTGGGCTTAGGAGCTGGGAAGCCCCATCCTTGGAGACACCTGAGCACAGATGGGTGATTCCTTGATAAAGCCTCCGTGGAAGGGATCAGCGTCACAAGGGTTAGTACATTAGGATTGGCAGGTGCGCATTGAGAAAATACAGATTCCCCACTCCCTCCTGTCCTTGAGATTTGGGTTTGTAATTTTTCCCAGCTTTGTTGAGATGCATCGGACATACGACATTGTGTAAGTTTAACGTGGACGACGTGACGATTGGATACACGTATATATTGCGAAACAGTTACCACAGTAAGGTTGGTTAACACCTCCGTCACCTCCCATAATTACCGTGTGTGTGTGGTGAGAACATTAGGTTCCATTCTCTTAGCCACTTTCAGTATATAATATAGTATTCACTGTAGTCACCATGTTGTTCGTTACGTACTTAATTGAGTCAGTAAATATGGGGGGACAGTAACCTTTCCTTAAGGTCCCTCAGGTGATTATGATGTAGATTATTGGTCCAGAACAGCAGTGGGGAGCTTTGACCCCATCCAACCCTAAGATAGTCTGATTTCCCGAGGGGCAGCCTAGTTAGGGGCACACACTCTGGGGCTGGCCTGCCTGGCTTCACGTGTAGCTCAGCCACTTGTCGTTGCGTGACCAGTGACTTAACCTCCAGTGCACTTCAGTTTCCTCCTCTGTAAGACGGTGGCAGTATCGTGAGAATTAAATAATCACGTGTGCGTGCACGCACACACGTACGAGTTACTACAGTCCTGTGCTGCGTGATGACACTCCAGTCAGCAATGGACCGTGTATACAATGTTGGTGCCATCAGATGAGTGCCATCTAGCCCGGGTGTGCAGTGGACGGCACCATCTAGGTTTGTGTAAGTGCACTCTGTGACGTTCGCACAACAACGAGATCGCCTAATGACGCATTTCTCGGACGTGACCCCATCGTTAAGCGACGCATGGCTGTTTAGCGCTTTGAACGATCCCTGGCACGTAGTAAGTGCCATGTAAACGTTAGCTGATATCGTGACTAATATACGTTATCAAGCCTTACCAGAGGCCCCATAGGTAATCGTCATCAGACGTACACCGTAGCCCCGCACAACCGGGGCTCCCCCCGGCGCTGGACTGTCTCCCTCTGTTCTCGCCTGTCCTGATGGATTCACGAGGCCCTGAGACGTGAAGACCTGGGAGGAGCCCCTGCCACCTCCTTGTGTCTGTGGTTCTGGGTCAGATGGCATCAGTAAATGGATTGATGGATGTCTCAGCACCATCAGATCATAAGGCTGCATCCCACAGGCCCTGGCAGACGGTAAGGCTGCATCCCGCAGGCCCTGGCAGATCTTGGTAGCATGCACGGTCTCTGCCCTGAGGTTGCAGCCTGGCCTGAAACCCAGACTGGGATGCCCAGACACAGGAGTCCTGCGGGGACCTCTCAGGCCAGCGTTTATGTCCTTCCCTGTATACATCAGAATTAGGGGGCTGCTGATGAACAGTCTTAAATCTAGACCCTCAAGGCAGTTCTGTTAAGGGTGGTGGCTGAATCTGAGGCTGGACGTAAGATCCAGGATTTGTCCCAGAGGGAAGTCATCCTGTTTGGCTGGCCCCTGTGTGGCTGGTTTTCTGCCATCTAGCGTTGGGAGTGCTGAAGTACATGCCACAAAGAGACAGAAGCCCCAACAACTTTGCCAGCTGGCACGTCCCCCAGGGATGTACGGCATAGAGACCATCCCAGAGCAGGAAAGAACCCGCCAGGTTGGCTAGTTCAGGGTCTTTGTCCGTCTACAGATACAGCCTTTCTTCCAACAAAACCTGTTCTGGAAGCACAAGGTGTGGAAGTCAGAAGTGCTCTGGCTGGGAGGGAGGGGTCCCTCAGCCCCGCCTTGCACCCTGCTCCCGCACCGTGGGTCCTGGGGTGCCCACCAGAGCACAGTTTGAAAGATACTGCTGGAGTCAGCCTTCGTTCGTAAATGAGGAAACCCAGGGAGGTTAAATGAGTTGCCTACAAGCACAGAACGCGCAGAAGAGCAGAGACCTCAGCCCGGCTTGTTGTTCTCTGTGCCCTCTCCCCTGGTGTGCTCTGGCCAGCCTGTAGAGGCTTGAAGGCGCTGATCCCCACGGTAAATGGGGTCCTTCTGAGAGCAAGGACGTGTTTGGGGTCCCACTGACTCTCTGGAGAGCCGGACACGGCAGAAACGTCAGCTCCTCCTTTGCTGTTCCTTTACCCCTCACAGCCTATCCCTGAGTGACAGGACCCAATTTGAAGAGCTCAGGTTGGCCCCTCCCAGCTGCCTCTGACACCCCACTTTGGCCCCGTGGGGAATCCACGCATCCCACTGAAGCACCAGGAGCCCATGTGGCTTGGGACGGGAGGAATCTGGTCCTCAGAAGGATTGTAGTGACTTCCTGGAGATGGGAGGTCCCAGGAGTGGTGACCAGGTGCCGGGTGTGACCCTGGCCTTGTCTATCCCTGCTCCCTGTGGCAGCTGCATGTGGGATCTGAGAGGGTGGGTTCAGTCACAGTAGGGGAAGGACCATGCACGCAGCAGGGGGTACTGTGACGGAAGCTGCTGCCCGGAGGTGGGACTGGGTCACCAGAGGTTTAGATAAAGTCCTATATGCTGCACACATGTATGCCATATGTGCCCCTGCTAGAAACCTGGGTTTCTAGGGGGGACAGAGGCTTTTAGAGGACGCCCCATTTTTATTTCAACACCTGGTCTTCACATCGCACATCCTCCATGCTTCTGCCAGAAACCCAGCCTGAGTCTAGCAGGACCCCGGGACAGCGCGGAACAGGCCTGACTGCTCTCAGGGAGCTGTCTTCCACGCTGGCCGCATCCCTGTCAGAGCTGGAAGGGACTTGAGGGTCGTGTGGTACGAGCCCTGCCCGTCACAGAGGGGAGGACAGGCCCAGGGCACCAGACGCTTCATGGCAGGGCGGGGACAGCCCAGAGCTGGCTGTCCACTGCACCGTGACCCCCAGTTCGCCTCTGCGGACCTCTGGGGGTGTTTGGTTTTCCCAGGGGTGATGATACGGGTGCGTCTGCAGGGTCCCTGGCTTGCTCAGTGTGGTCTGTGAGCCAGCCAGGTTGGAAACGTGCTGCTCCGAGGCAGGCAGGGACGGAGCGGCCCAGGTTAGAGCCCAGACCAGCACGGGCCCCTGGGGCTGAGCATCCTGCAGCGACTGTGAGGCCGGGCGTCCAGTTTGGGTCCTGGCCTCAGCAGCGTGACGGCAGTCGCTCGGGTACCGAGCCTTGCTCTGGCCAGCACTGTGCCAGGCGCTGGGGACGTGGAGCGGACCCCTATCCTCAAGGGACATGACATCTCCCGGGGTGAGGGTCTGACTCCAGTGCAGAGCCATCAGTGGTGGCGCGGAGACGAGCGTGAGGAGCTGCTCTTGTGGGGAGGGCTCCGGAGCTGAACCCCGAAGGCCGTGTGGGCTTCAGAGAGGGGAAGGAGGCGGTGATGAAGCCGGGCATTCCTGGCACAGGGTGTGAGTCGTGTCAGGGAGGGGAGCGTGGCTCGTTCAGAGAAAAGTCCAGGAGGTCAGCACAGCTGGAGGGTGGGCAGCGGGGTGAGGAGCTGGACAGGCGGGCAGCCCCGGTGTGAGGTGGATGGGCGCCTGGGTGGAGCAGAGGCCCTGCGGTGGGGCAGCGACCGGGCTAAGCTGGGCAGTGGCAGGACCGGAGTTTCATCTGGGGAGACCACCGGGCTGCTGGTGAAAGTGGTTTGGAACAGGGCCAAACCAAGGCGGGAGGGCAGTGGGCGGGGGGCCATCTGAGGAAGACATGAGGAGGGCTCCGCTAAGACGCAGCCGTGGGGGAGAGTAAGGAAGCAGGGTTTTAGAGATGTTTGAGGAGGGGAGTCCCTGGGTGTGCGGGATTGTGGGTGGGAGTACAGGCAGTGTCAGGGATGGTTCCCAGGTTCAACTTGGGCCATGGAGTGGGTGGGAGACGTGCTCTCTGCCATTGGGAACACGACCATGGAGCCAGTTGGGGAATTGGGGAGTCAGGGGCAGAGGCTGTGGGGTTTGTGGTCCCGACGGGGCACTCACAGGCAGCGGGGCATGAGAATGGAGGAGAGAGACCCAGCTGATAAGTCTCATCTGAGACCCACCAGCCTCCAAGTAGAAATCTCTGGAAGGGACAGGCCCACTCAGGCAGCACACAGCATGAGATAGAAGGGCAGGCGGGGCCAGAACTTTGGGGAGTGGCAACTCCCTAAAGTTGGGGTGTACTGTGGGGAGCTGGTGCTCATGGGCAAGGGCAGGGCTGTCACCCTCGCTAGAGCCCTGCCCTCCCCAGGAGCCTGGTCCCCTCTGCCCAGCAGCCCTGCTGCTCCTCCCACGGCCCCCCTCAGCCCTGCTCCTCCTCCCACGGCCCCCCTCGGCCCTGCTCCTCCTCCCACGGCCCCCCTCGGCCCTGCTCCTCCTCCCACGGCCCCCCTCAGCCCTGCTCCTCCTCCCACGGCCCCCCTCGGCCCTGCTCCTCCTCCCACGGCCCCCCTCAGCCCTGCTCCTCCTCCCACACCGCCCCCTCCCCCCCCCGCCCTGCTCCTCCTCCCACGGCCCCCCTCAGCGCCTGTCTCTGCCGCAGCAACTGCCTGCACGTGGTTGACCCCATGCCTGTGCCCGGCCATGACGTGGAGGCCTACTGCTTGCTGTGCGAGTGCAGGTACGAGGAGCGCAGCACCACCACCATCAAGGTAACGTACCACCAGTCCCACCCCCCTCCCCACCCCTGCCCTATGCCACCGGCTCTTCTCTGTTCTGGAACATTCTGGGTGGCTCTGGGACTGGCTTCTAAGCTGGCCTGGTTGTAGACGGAGGAACTATGTCCCACCCCGTCGTGGTGGCCGCTCTCCCTGCAACCTCCAGCCAGCGGTCCCCGCACAGCTGCAGCTGAGAGCATGGAGCTGGGAGCCTGGAGAGACGTGAACCAAGCCGGTGTCTGGGGCTAGGACCTGGGCAGAGGGCTCAGGCTGCTTCCTTTGGCTCCTCCCTGCACCATGTTCTCATAGGTCATTGGCTGGATTCAGGAGGGAGGTGGTGGACACAGCCACCACCACAGGAAGTGAGGCCAGCCAGGACCCAGGCCCTTCTCTGCCTCCAGGCAGGACTTGCCCAGATCATGGCTCTCTCTGGCAGAACCTCGTCTCCCAGACCCCCTCCGGGTCTCCAGTCCAGGTTCTCCATGGGGAGCCCGACCACGCTCTCCGATTTCGAGCATAAGGCCTTCCTGCTCCAGCTTTTAGGCTCATTTCCGTTTGTCCTGTCAAGAGTCTAGTAGTAGCATCGGGAAAGAGCTCTGAGGACCTTCACGACACCACTGAGTCCTCTGTCAGGTCCCCTTTGGGGGTGCATCAGAGGGGAGGGGGTCCTCACCACGATCCTCCCTGCCCAGCCCAGGGAGCCGGCAGCTCCTGGCCTGCCCGGGGGTCCTCAGTGTCCTCGCCTTTCAGATGGAGGGCAGCTGCCTGTTCCCGACCCCTGTCACTGCCCTGTCACGCTGTACAGACTCAATGCCTTTCATCCTCCGCCAAGTCCGTCCCTCCTGGACCCGGCCTTCCTCCTCTGAACCTGCTCCGGGGGCCCCACCCTCTGAGCCCTCAAATTCTGAGCTGGATGTCACCTCTCCCTCTTCAGTGGGGAAGGGACTTCCCGACATGGCGACCTCCTCCTAGTCCCCCCGATTTCCTTCCAGCCATTCTCCCAGGAGACTCCCCACTTTCGGCCTCTCCGAGAGTCAGCCTCCATTCCCCCTCCCCCTTCCTGGGGCGCGGGCAACAGGTCTGATTATTGACCCCATTTAAGGAGGCGTGAACGCTGATGCCCCCGCTGCGGAGGAGGTCGGTCCAGGTGAGCGTGGCTGTAGACTGAGCCCCACACCTGGAAGCCCGAGCTTGCTTTTATCCCCTCTTCACAGTCAGGGGCCAGGGCTGGGGTCAGAAGCCAGGGATGGCCCGGCGTTTGGAAGTAGAGAAAGCCTTTTGGATGGAGTCAGTGAACCTGGGTCCAGGTTACGTCTCTGCCGTGTACTAATCTTGGGACCTGTTGGTTCTCAATCAGGGGGTTCCTGGACCCCAAGGGACACTCAGAGATGAGTGGAGAGGCTTCTGTGGCCCCAATAACTGAGGTGTGTTGCTGACACCATTGCGGGGACCGTGGATGCTCAGTGTCTTGAGGGTCCAGTCTTCAATGCCCAGAGCTCCCACGTGGAGGAACGTTGCGTTAGCCTCGCTGCGTCTGTCCGACTGCAGCGTGTGAGGCTCTCCGTGTATGTGAGAAATTCGTGAAGTTGTCCCTCTGCCCCTGGCTGTCTCCTCCCTGCAGGGTTACCCATGGGGGCTGGACCTGGCCTCCAGCCATCATTGCACACCTTGCCAGGCTGTCCTGCTGGCGGGCGCTGGGTGCAGAAACGTCCCCCCATCACTCCCGCGCCCAGCAGTGGGATGCGCCCACGTGCCCAGGTTCCTTCTCCTCGGCCTCTGCGCCCGCCACCTGCTTGCTCTTCTTAGTGCCCCATCGCTTTCCACCCTTTGTCATAGGCTCTTCCGTAGCCAGGGGGCCCCGTTTCCCTGCTCCCCAGCCCGGGGAGCATCTTGGGGAGTCAGGATCCAGACTCCTTCCTTTGTCGTCTGTCTTCTATGCCTGCTGGGGAACTCAGTGTTCCTGTGGGACCCCCTCAGTTTGGGGCAGAGTTAGTAAACGCGTGGAGCAGGCCGTGCTGTCCCTTCCTGGCCCCCGTCCCTCCAGGCCCACACGGTCTCAGCCCTTCCCCAGTGCATGGTGCGGTCACCGCCGTGGGACGCAGATGCCCAGGGTGCTGCTCACGGGTCGGTCTCCTCCTCAGGTCATCATTGTCATCTACCTGTCGGTGGTGGGGGCCCTCCTGCTCTACATGACTTTCCTGATGCTGGTGGACCCTCTGATCCGAAAGCCGGATGCGTACACAGAACAGCTGCACAATGAGGAGGAGAACGAGGTAACGGGGCTCTGGGGCAGAACCAGAACGGCACCACTGGGGCCTGCATGGGGGTGTGTGTGCCCCGCCGTGCCCTGGTTCGCTCTTCTGCTCCATGTCCACACGTCACCCGACCCAGCTGTTTCTCCAGCAGGGGCAGCCCGTTGCCCTTGCAGGTGGAGCGGGAGGTGGCCTGCATGTCTCCTGATGTCTGGCACCATCAGCCTCGGTGCACAGCTTGGAGCCGCGTCCGCCTGCTTTACCACGTTTCTATCAGAGGGGACATGAGCCAACCAGGCCTGTCACACATACAGACCCCCGGCATCCTGGTTCCTCACGTCGTGTCAGGTTCTGCTGGGCTTGGAGGTGGCGATGGGCTTTCCAGATTCCACAGACATCTGTTGAGCCCCTGCTCACTGCAGATGCAGCCCCAGCCCTGGGGCAAAGCAGGATTTCAAGAGCCAGTGAGGAGTCAGGTGGTGGGAGTGCTGAGGTGGGAAACTACCGCGTATACGCTTGAGGAACCTTGAGCGTTTCAGGGATAAGGCAGGCAGGTCTAGGACTAGAGGCACGTCGAGCCGGCCAGCACGCTTCGGCCAGATTACTAAAGGCCTCAACTGTCAAGCTGAGGAGTTTTGGTTCCCTTACGTAAGGAAGATGGGAACCACCAACACCTGGGAGTCCACAAGCCTGGCAGGTGCTCGCACTGGGGTGGGGGCTGGTGGGGCTGGGGCAGGCCGGTCACACTAACAGTGACCCTCGTCCTCTCCCCCTTCCCCGTCCTGAGGAGCTCGGCAGCCTGCACAGGAGCCCGGGGTGGGAGCGGGAAGTGGTGAGCGCTGTGCGGCCTGCTGGGCAGAGTGGTGAGGGGCTGCACTCCCCAGGGAGATTGGAGGACTCTCTGACCCCACGTGCCCCGAGCTCCCCTTACAGGCCCCCACAGCCACCAGTTGTGTGCACGAGACAGTGGTCGGCCCGAGGGCCTCACAGCAGTGCGGGCGGTCCATAGGCGGGGCCGGGCTGTGCCGCTGTCTGCCCTGGGGATGGCAGCTCCAGAAGGCTGTGGAGGGCACCGCACGTCTGCCAGCTCCATCCCGAGGCCCCCTGCTGCTGGAGGGTGCTCCTCATGGCTCATCCAGGGAGGGAGGTGAGGGGAGGGAGCCAGCACAGATGCAGGGGGCTTCCAGTGGCGAAGCGTGTCAGCCACATCGAGGAGAGTGAGTTGAAGAGACTGGGAGGTGTGTAGCTTGAGGAAAAAACAAGAACCAAACTTCTGGAGGTGGCAGCCTTCAGACGTGTACAGATGAGAGCTTGGCCCCTCTCTGGGCGAAGCCAGGGGCGCAGAGACCCCGAATGGGGAGTCAAGAGAGGGAGGTTTGACGCCATGAGAAGGAGTCGTCTGCAAGACGAGGCAGTCCAGGTGAACCTCCACAGGTGCGTGGTAGTGCGTCCAGGGTCACTCAAGGTCACCAGACATCAGCTAAACTGCCACCAGCAGTCTCAGTTTGGAGCAATTCAGGCACTGGCTTGGACGTGGGAAAGGGTGGGTTCCCCCCAAGAAGAGGGTCCGGGGCTCAGATCCCGGTGTGGAGCGCCCAGCCGAGTCGGGGGCCTGCACGAGGCCAGGGAGCGGGGGAGGCCTGGCTGCTCCACGGGCCTGGAGCTTCTCCTAGGTACATGCCCGGACCCTTCCCCGTCTGCCCCCAGCCTCCTGCTGACATGAGTTTGGCCAAAGGTGGAGCAGAGAGGGTGGGCCTGGCCCCCTCGGAACTCCGGCCTGGGAGGTGGAGGCGCTGGCAGTTGGGTGGTCTGCGTTCACGAGGAAACCTTGCGTGCCTACCTGGTTATTAGCGCACAGTAATAGCAGCTCTGATGGAGGGGGGCATCGCTAATGAACACCCTGGATCGGGGTAATGTGCTAATTGCAGTCCTGGCTGGGGAGTAATTGAGAGATGTGGCCGCTGATTACACGGCTGGGCTGTGACTTCCCTGGAATGTGTGGCCGTGGGGCACGATGGCTGTGGGCCGGCCTTGTTGTGTCGCCTGTGTCCTGGATACGGAGCCGGAGGGCAGCTGCTGTCTTTGGGTCTGAGCCCAGGTACCCCTCCCCTGGGAGACCTGGGGCTCCCCACGTGGAGTCTTAAGCCGTGGCTGTCTCTGTTCATGAGAGGGGGCCTTGCGGAGGGAGGAGGGGGTAGAGTCGGTCAGTGTAGGTCCTGGGAGCCGAACCTGAATCAGAGGGTGGACGCTGCCTGGGAGAGTAGGAAGGGTTGTCCAGGGAGGGGTGCTGTCTGGCCGTGTTTCGGAGGTGCCGGGAGGACAATGGGCCCCGCAGGCAGCTGTCAGGCTGAGGCCCTGGGAGGGCCGAGTGGGGATGGATGACACCTGACCCCGAGGTTCTAGAAGATGAAAAGCGTGTTCGGACTCTGATACCCTGGCCGGGGTGCAGCCCGCTCTGCGGAGAGATGGGGGTGGGCAGTGCCCTGGGGGTGGCTAAGGGACCCCCTCAGGGCAGCCGTGAGTGTGTCTGCACTCCCTCCACTCGTGACTGTGATACCACCGTCTTAGGTCCTCCTGGCTCGTCCCTTCTTGGGGATCAGCAGCACCGTTCCCCTCGCACGCACGTGGCTTCCTTTCCTTTGGCCCTTCTCAAAAGTCATGCAGGTGGCACCATGTGGGTCCACAGACCCCCTGTCTGCCCGAGGGGGTTTAAGCAGGGAGCCTGGGGGCCATCGAGGGACCAGGAGGCAGGAGACGGGCCGGAAGGAGGAAGCTGGACGCTGCAGGAGGCTCCTTGCCAGGTGGGGGTGGGGGACTTCTCCTTCTCTTCATCCTGTCTGGGATGGAAGGCCTCCTGGCTGAGGGGATCTTCAGAGCTCAGAGGATGGAAGGGGCCCTGTCCCGGATGGGGAGGGGTCTTTGCGGACCCTCCGGTCTCAGTGCACATGGGGAAGCGGTAGGGAGGTCCCGCCTGGCTGTCGGTGGCAGAACCAGGACGGAGGCCGTCTCTGGGTTTATTAGTGGCCTGGAGAGCATGTCCCTTAAGAAGGACGGGGCCTCCTTGGGCTGGGGAGGGCGGGGGGGGGCGTCTTCGCTTTCACCCCAAGAGGAAGAAAGTGGCAACGGGGCCTCGGTCTCTGAAAGTTCTTCTCGGCCTGTACAACTCGGTGACCTTGAGAAGGGAGCTTGGGGTCCAGGGCTCCCCCAGGAGTCTGGGCCCCATCAGAGTGAAATCTGGAGGTGGGCTCACTTCCCGGGACTGGGGGGCCCTGGGTGCCATCCCCCCAGTTCCTGTAGCCGGGAGCTCTCCTACCCCAGGCTGGAGGGCTGGAGGAGGAGGGGAGGCCTCGCCTGCATCCCCGGCCCCGGCCCCGGCCCCGGCCCCGGCCCGGGGAGGAGATGAAAGCTGCGCGTCCCTTTGAAAGCGCTGGCAGGCCTCGGTGGGCCTGACTGCCGGGCGCTGCCTCCCAGGATTCCAGCAGCTTTAGGGCTAATCCCCGGGCTCAGACGCCCTTTGAAAGGAGGAAGCGAGCATGTTTGCCGGGACGGAGCTGCCTTAGATGTGCAGGTCTGGCTCTTTGAAGAGAGAGAAGCGAGGGCTTCTAGGAGGCTCCGGGTGTCTCTGCTGCTCCCAGCGCCGGCCCCCTGCACTCTAACAGGGTCCTCCGAGATCTCCCCCATGGGCGCGGCTGCCACCCTGGGCCCCTGGGGGAGAGGGGTGCGGGGATCAAGGAGAGAGGATGATGGCCGTGCTGATGGTGGTGGCGCCTGGGCACATGGGGACCGCAGAGAAGACAGGGCTCAGGGCACTGGGCTCCCGCTTCCTCCAGGGAGGGTTGAGCAGCACACGACCTCGGGGGCTGATGGGGACGCACCCTCCTCTCCTCTGAGGACAAATGGGAGGGCTGCGAGTCAGTAGACGTTTCTAGAACAGCCATCAGGCCTCGCAGGACTGTTGGCAGGAGCAGGGTTTCAGATCCCAGTTCTGGTGGGAGTCCAGCTCTGTCTGCCGCTTCCTGTCCCCAGGGGTGCTGACCGCCCGGTTCAGTTCTCTGACTCTGGAGCAGGCTTGATGGTCCCCTCAGCATATTGTTGTGATCGCGTGTGTGCCAGCGTCACGGTGTGCATTCCTCCTTCAGAACTAGACGTTTCGGGGGTGGTCTTAACACCCGAGGAGCGTGCTATCGTTGGAGGGGAGGCTGGGGCGGCACGGCAGAGGCCTGGCGGGGAGGCAGGCACGGCAGTACAAAGGCCGCGTGGACGAGTGTGGCCGAGGACGGGAGCAGGGCAGGCGAGGCTGGCTGCGGGCTCATGTAGCTCAGAGTGGGCCGAGCTCAGGGCAGGTCATCCCTGAGCAGCCGGGGCGCCAGGCAAGGCCTCTGAGCAGAAGCAGCGGCATGTGACAGCGTCAGAAGACGCCTGGTGGTTCATGCACGAGGAAGCCTGGGGCTGGCTGCAGCAGGAGTCGGTTATTCGTCAGCACTGAGGGAGGACGCAGGCTCACACTCGCCCGCTTAGCTGTGTGGCTGGGGGAGCACGAGGCTGCCTGTGCTGTGCGCCCCCAGGTCTGGGGCCGAGGGCCGCCCACCAGAGGTGGGGGTTCTCTTTCCTCATCTCCCTGTTGTCCCAGAGCCTCGGGTCCGGTCCAGAGCTGGCTCAGAACCAGCGCCTCCGGGCGGGCTGAGGAGGGTTCATGCAATGGTTTCACCAGGCGCTCATGGGGAGTCTGTCAGCTCAGTCTGGTCCATACGGATCTTCGGGGTCTCCCAGGGCTGGGGGGGGCCAGCGGCAGTGCCTGATCCCTGGTGCCTTCACTGCTCTCTCCTTGGGGTTAGTCTGCTTTTGGGTTTTCCACGTTGGCCACAGAGGGACCCAGGCGTGTCTTGGGGTAAGGGGTGTGCAGGCATGGGTTCAGATCCTGGCCCGGCCGCTGAACTGCTGTGTGACCTTGGGCGGCGAGGTGATTCGTCTTCCGCGGTTTCCTCATCCACAGCTGGGAATAATGTCGCCCACGTGCCAGTCCCGTGGGCCTGGTGGGGATCCATGTGGAGTTCCCCGCCCAGCGCCTGGTGCACCGTGGAGCTGTCACCACCGTGCTGGTCCGCCCCCACCAGGGGGCCCTGGGAACCTGTCAGCATCCAAGCGCCTCCTCCTGATTGGGGCCACCCCCCCTCCCCTCACTGCCTTCTGCCTCCCCGAGCTGCCTGGAGACCCGGCCTCGGAGGGAAGGGGCGAGAGACAGTGGGCTTTCTCCCACCTGCGGCCACCGTCCCACTACAGAGCCGGCGCGGAGGCCGCTCCGGGCTGTCTCAGAACAGGTGCGGGGTCTTAATACCTTTTAATCAGACTCTTAGCACGGGGACACGGAGCTCTCCACCCAGATTCTCCCTCTTAGAGGCAGTTGGTTAAGACTTTACCCGAGGGAGAACAAACGAGGCCGTGGTCGTGCGCTGCGTGCTGGCGCGTCCCCTTCATGCTCTGCCTGCCCCCCCAGCCTCCCGAGACGCAGAGCCACGCACACGCAGGCAACAGCCTCCCAGCGCCCCGCTCCTCGGGGTCACACCCTCCCTCCTCGCTGGTCCTGGGAGGAACAAGATGGGGACTGGGCAGGAGAGGCCAGGAGAGCTAGGTGCTGGCGGGCCAGCGGCGTCCCTGGCCCCCGGGAGCGTTCAGTGGGCCCCGCTGAACTGGAAAGGAACAGACTTGAGAGGGGACGTGATGCAACAGTCCTTATTCCAAGGCCACAGGCTGCTAGCTTCCCCCGCCCCTGCCTGGGAGACCCCGCAGCTGGGCCTGATATTAGGAATCGCTGCTGTTCCCCAAGCGCTTGCTGTCTGCCAGGCGCTGCCAGAGAGCTCAGGTTTGTGGTCTCGATGAGAAGAGCAATAGGTGGGGAGCAGGTTCAGGGGACCGGGTGACTTGCCCAAGGCCCTGTTCTGATAGGCGCAGAGCCAGCGTTCACGGCCAGGCTTGTCTGATTCCGGAGAGTTCTGCAGGCTGCGCGAAACTGCAGGGCGCTCCCGGAGCGCCTGTCTGTGGCCACCAGCCTGCCAAGTGCCGGGCGCGTGTGATCGCGTGTCTCCTGCCGGCCCGTCTCCTGATTGGGAGCCAGGGTTTTCCAAACTGGAGGTCACGACCCGTGAGGTCATGAAGTCAGTTGAGGAGTCACGGCCAGCATTTTAAAAAACTAAATGGAGCAGAGCAGGCAACGTCAGAATGCACCGTACTGGGCAGTCTGTGAGATTGTAACTGTGCGTGTGTGTGTGTGTGTGTGTGATGCAATGATGTCGGAGCGTCAGGTGACGGAATTCCTGCTGATGGTGTGGTCAAGAGCCTGAGCAGCCTGGCATGGTTAAGTTGAGCTGGGCCGGGGGGCCTGAGGCCGGAGGAGAGGGTGGCCCCTCAAAGCCCAGGCGTGGAGCCCTGGGGTCCGGACCCCACACGCAGCATGCCCCTGCCAAGGCTGCTAGCACCTGCCTCCGAGGTGTTGTGACCCTCACCTGGCCTGGCAGAGGGCGGGGCCTCGAGTCCTGGACATGGGGCTCCTGGGGCTGTGTCCGTCTCTAACTTGCCATGGGCAGTGCTTGTGAGACTCTGCGGCGACAGTGGACCGCCTGCCGGCCTCCCCTCCAGCCACCTCTCTGCCCCCCACCCTCGCCCGGCCCCCCTCCTGCTCCCCGCCTGGCAGCTGCGTGGTGACAGAAGCCGTGCCAGCTCAGGGCGTTAGAAGCGCAGTTGCATTTACTGGGCGGCCCCAGGCTCAGAGAGGTGTGCTAATCCCTTAAGAGACGTGTGGCAGGAGATGAGAGGCAGGGAGAGCCAGGGAGGAAATCCCCAGGGGGGTGTGGGCCTGGCCCTCGGCTCCAGTCCCCCCCAAAGATCAGGCTCGGGTCCTGCAGGAAACGCACGGGCTCCGGCGTCAGGGGCAGAGAAGTGGTAATTAGGGGAGGATGCTGCCTTCAATGACGACGACAGAAACCGTTCTGACAGCAAAGGGGCGGGGGCGGTGGGGTGGGTGGAGAAGGAGCGAGCCCACCCAACTGGCCCAAAGGGTGGGCCAGGGCTGGCTGTGGGATGGGGTGCTGGGGTCCAGCTCCGAATTTCCCTCCCTGCCAGACTCCCCAAGGGACGTCATCCCCTGTTTCCCGGGAGAATGAACTGGGTATCCCAGCCCCATGAGAGCAGATCCTGTGGGTGCCCCCCTGTGCAGGCCCCTCAGAGGGCCCTCTCCTGCCCAGAGTGGATGTGCGCTCCTCTCTGCGCAGCCAGGTCCTAGCCCTGGGCCTTCCTGCAGCCCTGAGCTGTGGCGGCCGGGCAGGGGAGTTCTGCAGCCCAGGACCAGCCTTGGGGCAATCGATGCATTTCCTGAAACAGCAAGTGTCTTGAGTCCCCAGCGCTGAGTGAGGTCCTGAGGCCAACACTCAGTGTTCCCGTCGAGGGTTAGAAACAGGCCTGGGGGTGCACCTGTGGACCTGACGAGCTGGCTGTTTCGTACCTGGGGCCCCAGATCATGGTCTTCCAGGCGCCCCCTTCCCGGGCCTGGTCCTCCAGATTCTACAAGCACTAGCCTCCAGCTGGCCGGGTGCTGTGCTGGGCCCTGTGGGTGGAGGCCAGGCCCTCCAGGAGCCCGCGGCCCTGGGGAGCCCCAGCCTCCCAGTTGGGGGTGGAGGGAGTTCAGACTTTGGGGTTGCTCTCGGGGCATGTGTTGCGTGCCAGCTTTCCAGACCCCTCTGGCTCACGGTGCCAAATCTTCCCTTTCCTGTCCTCCTGCAGGATGCTCGCTCTATGGCGGCTGCCGCGGCCTCCTTCGGGGGACCCCGCGCCAACACGGTCCTGGAACGTGTGGAAGGCGCTCAGCAGCGGTGGAAGCTGCAGGTGCAGGAGCAACGGAAGACGGTCTTCGATCGGCACAAGATGCTCAGCTAGAGGGCCCGGCACAGTCGGGCCAAGGACCAGCGGCCACGGCTGGATAGAGCCAGGGGCCACTCTCCCCTCCTTCGACGCCACCCTTCCTGGGTCTTCCCTTTAAAAGCCTGTGGCGTTTTTTCCTCCTTCTGCCCCTCTTTAGAAACGTTGTTCTCAGCTGAGTTAATTCCGGAAGCGTGATGGGGTCCCCGATCTCTCGTTCGCCTGCTCAGGTCTTGGGGGTTTGTGGGGGGAAGGCAGGCCAAGAGGGGATGGAGGCGTCCGTCTCAGGCGGCCTCAGGGTTGGAAGGAGCCTCTCTCTCATTGCTCCACCCTTGCCACCTCTCCGGCTCCAAATCCCGGGAAGGTTCCAGCCTCTGGAAGGTGGAGCTGGGTCGTCAGGACCTCGGTGTGTGGGAGGAAAGCCTGGCCCCTGCCACCTGTGCTGCTTTCTGCTGTGGTTGTGGTGGCTGCCTTCCTCGCCACCCCGAGACGTCAGCCCCCGAGCACCCATCCCCTCTTCCTCCTCCCTCCTCTCCTCCCCTGACGCATGGTGGTGGCCGTGCACCCTGCCTCCTCTCGGCCCGGCCCTCCCGCCCACTCAGGAGGCCAGGCAGGCCCCTTGCCTCCCTGTGTGTGTTGTCACTGAGCCAGACGGGTGGTGGGACCACGCGGCACAAGGCCGGGCGGTGGCTCTGAATGCCACAGCCTTGGGGCACCACGCATCCCTGAATTTCCTTGTAGCGTGCATGGGCAGACATGTTTGTCTACCGTTGTCTGTAAGTCAAGGAAGCCATCATTAAATTGTCTTATTTCTCACTTTCTGGATTTCAAGAGACTTAGAGAACTGAGTGTCCCACGTGTGGCCTGGTGAGTCCTGTGTCCCAGAGAGGGGACGGAGCGTCATCTTGGCGGGTCCAGAAGAGAGGCAGACGTGGCAGTCCTGGTGGCCAGGGCAGAGCCCACGGGGAGTCCATGTGGAGGCCCCCTGATGGGGAGAGACTGGCCACGGGGCCTGCTCCTCACGGCTCCCTGCCCTGCGAGGGGTGGGGAGCGGACTAGCCCCGGGAGTGACCCGGAAACAGGATCCGTGTTTGTCTTTGTGGGGGAGCCCCCTGAAGCTCTGAATTTGTCTGACGTCAGTCTCTTGCAGGCACCGTAAGGGATGTCACTGTCAAGCTCCTTGAGTTTCTGGATGAAACCAGCAGGTGTTGGGGGGGCGCAGCCAGGGGAACAGAGCAGCTCCGGGGCCACACGGAGGAGCCCAGCACCGGCTTCCCTCCCTCCCACCCCAGGAAGTGCAGATCGGGGGGCCGTTGGAGCCCGGGCAGAAACGAGGGACCTGGAGGGGCCCATTGGGTCTGATCGAAGTTCCTGTCCTCCGGGGTTGTCCGAATAAGCGTGTATTAAGGCTCTTGTGTGGGTTCTGTGCAGGTTCTTGGTGAGGTGCGTGGGGGGTGGATCTTGGTCTACAAAAATTTGCCCAAGTTCAGAGCTGAGTACAAGTCCTAAAGGGAGGGGCGACCTGCACACGGGGTCCCAGGAGAGCAGAGCCGAGAGGGGCTCAGCGATGGTGGGTCCTGAGGGTGCCAGCCAACATGACGTTCGTGGCAGGGCTCACAGGAGGTCCACAAGCTGCGGCCACAAGGCTGGCGCAGAAGAGCCAGCACTGATGACACTTCTGTCCCCTCCATCCGCCTGGTGCACGCCCGGCACCTGCTCAGGCCACGCGTGGCTTTGGAAGCATCAGGCCGTCGTGTTCCCTCGAGATGGGCCCTCTTACTCAAGAGGCGGGTGAAATCAGGGCCTTCCAAAGGTGGGCAAGTGGCTGTGTGGGCCTACCGAGAGTAACCAATCCAGAAGCGGGTGTCTGACACTGCCGCCGCCTCCCTCTAAACCTCACAGCCTGGGGAATCCTCGAGTACTGCCTTTCTCTGATTCTTGTGAGTCCTGTGGACGATCCAGCCACTCTGTGGGGCGCGTAAGGGTTTGGTCTGAAGCGAGCAGCCATTGCTGGCCATCAGTAAGCCCAGGAGAGGAAAGTGAGTGATAGAAGGATCCCTCTACGTAAGGATTTGACCAGTAACCCAGCATCTAGGTCTGCTTCCCTTTACTCACAGACGGCTGTTCCAGGGTGTCCCCCTGTCTGCCTGTGAATGGTGAAGGTGGGGCGCCCAGCAGAGGGAGAGTTTGCTCCCTTGCTAATGTCTGATCAGAGATCAGGCTCCTACAGCAAATGACGGAATCGATCAGAAGTTACACCTTTCGTCCCATCTCATGTGGCGAGACATTTGTGTTGGGGTCACCATGCTCAGAAATCCTGCTTGCCTCCCACAGCCCCCACATACCTGCAGCGGACCCATCCCACCTGGGAGATGTGGTTGGGTTTGGCCCTGGGGACCAGAGCCTCAGACCCGGTCTCCGCCGTCTGGGGCTAGCCCTCATCCCTCACATGGCTCCAAGGGAAGTGACCCACGCAGAGGATGGAGAGGTGGACGCCAGCCTGCTTCCTGGCGGCTTCTTCCTCACGCACCATCCCCATTTCCCCCGCACGCTGGTTTCCTTGCATCCGCCCTTATGCATCTACGGGCAAAACCCCAGCCATGGGTCTGTCGCCCGGCCTGACTCCTCTGCCCCTCCCGGGGCAGCTCAGCTCTGCTTCCAAGAGGCCAAGGACGGCCCTGCAGGTTGCTGGTTTCCTCCCCCGCAGCGGCCATTAATCCTTTGGTGTTAATTCTTCCTTGAGGCTCACTCGAGGTCACCAGGGAACCCTCCTGTATCTCCCCCTACCCCTCCCCCCAGAAAAATCTTTCCTTACTACTTCAAGAGAACAGAGGCTCTTAGGTCCGTCTCTTATCTTCCTTACCCCCCTCTGCAAATTTTTCTTTGTGCGTCTCTTGACATCCTTTGCTGTGGTCTTGGAGACAGCATGCCCCTCCTTTTCAAAGCCGGCCCACCCACCCCCTCTCCCAGGGGCCTCCGTCATCTCTTCACCCAGTTCCTCCTGGTCCTTCTCAGCCTGTGCCTCTGCTCAAGTCTGCCCTATGAAGAACCTTCTGTGGGCTCCACGGCCCCCTCTGTCTCCAGTGGAGTCTCCTTCCTGTCCCCATGATCTCCACCGTCCACTTGGTCCTTCGCCCCCAGCCCTCTGCAGGCAAATGCCCATGACTGATTGCCGGTCCCAGAGGGTGGCCTCGGTCCTGGTCTCTCTGGCCCTCACTGCAACTCTGATGCCGTGGTCCTTCTCCCATCATGAAATTCTCTGCTCTGGGACCTTGTCTCTTTGGTCCTCCTTGCCCTTTGTGACCACCCCGCACTTCTCCCTGAATATTGCTATTTCCTGGGCGTCCATCCTCAGCTTACTCAGCTCAATCTAGAATTTCACTTCTAAGGACCTTTCCCGAAGCTCTTCTCTTCTGTGGTTCTGTGGTCTTAATTCTGGAATCTCTCTACAGCCCAGACCTGACCCCAGCTCAGCCTTGTCTGTCTGGCTCTCAGCTGGCTCTCCCCTCAGTGCCACAGAGCCTGTCACAATCGGATGTCCAAGGATAAGCTCATCTTTGCCTGGAAATCAGCTTCTTCATTTTCATTATCTGAATTGGTGGCACCCAATTCTCCCCTGGTCTGCAGTCCCCACGTCCGGTCACCCACAAAGTCCCACCGATTTCACCTCCAGATGGTTGGGGAACCCGCTCATCCCCTCCGCCCCTCACCCACTGCCGTGGTCATGCCCTCGTGGTTTCTCATGGGTTCTTGTCTTGACAGGAACTTGACAAGAACTACTGTGGTTCTTGTCAGGAGCCACCAGAGTTCTTGCTTTTCATCTGATCATGTAACTGCCCTCCTTCAAAACTATCAAGGGCTCCCCATTTCCAAGGGCTTGAGCTCTTTATTGGGGCCGACAAGGCCTCGAGGCCGAGATCTGCCTGCCCCTCTGGCCTTTAGCCCCAGAACCGACTGGCAGGACCTACTGGGGGCACCACTGGCCCTCGGAAGGGAGGAGGTGATGAGCCCACAGGCACCTGCTCGGCTGGGTGGGTGCTGCCCTCAGGGGCCAGGGGCGTGCTGATCCCAGGCTGCCCGTCTTGGGCAGGGGGCACTGGCGGGAGCTGAGTCAGGCTTCCCCCAGCTCCCACGCTCCACCACCCTGCCTGGGGGCTGAGGACGGAGGAGACCTGGAAGAAGCGTTGGCAGGAAGAAGAGGATGCCAGACCCGCGCTTCGCTGTCTATTTCTGAGCATCTGCTTGCCATGCACAGGCAACTCCGCGGGCTCCAGGGAGCCGGCAGGGTGGGGTAGACGGAGGGCCAGCCTGAAAGTGGGGACAGACCTGGCTTCTCAACCCCCTGGCCCTCCGGCAGTCCCTCACCCCGCTGAGCCAGTGTCCTCGCCTGGATAACCCTCAGCCTGGAGCTGTGCTCGTCAGATGAGGCCTGCCGTTCCAGGGGCTGGACAGACACCTCCCCAGAGCCCCGACCTCGGCTAGTGAAGCAAGTTCAGAGCACGAACCCCTGAGCCAGCAGCCAGGGGCTGATGCCCCTCTGCCCGCTACCAGCCAGGCGGCCTTGAGTGCTCCTTAGAGCCTCACACGCCTGCGTTCCCTCGCTGGGAAGTGGGCGCGCTCCCACCGTGGCAGTTGCTGTGAGGTGTGGATCATCAACGAGCCTGAAGCCCTCAGAGCCGTCCTGACACAGTAGCGGGCTCAGCGGTGTTGGCTGCTGTCCACACTGTTGTTACTGTTACAGCCCGACCTCCCGCCCGTCAGGTGGAGGTTCTGTAGTTAGCAGGGACTTCCTGCTAAGTGTGGTCGGGGGACTTCAGGACCCCAGAAACCCCAACCCTCAGCTAAACCCCACTCCTGGTGAAGCTCTGCTCCGAGCTTCAGGGGGTGATGCTCCGGTGACCCCCAACATGGGCCAAGGGGAGGCCGGCTGGCCCTGAGGCCGTGGGCTCCTCCATCAGCGCATCAGGGTGGACGTGGAGGGAGGGCCCCGGGCTGGCGGTCAGGAGCCCTGTCCCGCCCGCTCTGCGGCTCCTGGCTGTGTGACCTTGGGCAGCTGGCCTCCTCTCTGAGCCTCAGCTTCCCTGGAGGGAGAGTGAGGATGTCAGAAGGGCCCGCCGCTTCCTCAGGCGCAGCCACCCAAGCTGGCCGTGTCAGGTGGTGCCAGAAGAGCAGTCTATTCTAGTCATTGTGTAACCATTTTAATGTGTATCAGAAACAATGTAACTAGCAAGTGACTTCATGACTTCGTGGGTATTGATGCGGAGGACAAGTCATGCGGGAGGTGAGTAGGTGTGAAGGGAGAGATGAAGAAAACCATGAGGACGAGTGGGGCGCAGAAATGGCAAACACAGGAGGAGCCGGGTGCAGGGCTGCAGGCTGGGACCCCTGAGCCCGGTGACATCTAGGGCACCTTCAGATCTCATGTCAGTGAGCTACTTGGCTTCCTGAGGCCTCATCTCCCCCGTGGTCCACGGGGCTGACAACACCCCGAGAGATGCTCTCCGCCAGGCTCCGCTGGGGCGGCTGCGCAGGGGCAGCTCAGACCAGGCAGCAGAGGGAGCCATGCCAGAAACCCTGGACCTTCCCCTGGCCAGAGGGACACTGGAGGGTTGTGGCCAGGCGTGGGGACACCAGGGCCAGACAGTCTGGGTCCAGATCCCAGCGCTGACTCCTCCAAGCTGTGTGACCTCAGACAAATTGATCCTCAACTGAGAAACGGGAACAGTAACCAATCTCACAGGGTGTGGGGTGGGCTCATTGTGAGTGAGAGCGACTGTATGAGTGTGTGTGTGTGTGTGTGTAACAGAGCCTGGCGCA